AACCCAGGCGGGAGCTTCCCGTAGACCTTCACACGGCCGCGGGAGTTGGCGCACAATGCCTTAAGGAGGGTCACGAATTTATGGGGGACACCTTTGCTCCACAGACCCCACAGAGTCAAAGGCGGCTTTCACCTCAAAAAACAACCATTGTTGGCTGCTGGTAGCAGTGTCACTGTTCCAGGATTTATCGGAGGGTGACAATATGATCGATGGAACCTCTTGCAGGACAGAACCCAGCTTGGTTTTCACGAATCTGCCTCTCCCTGTGTTCAGTCAGCCTTCGAAGGATAAGGCCAGAGAGCACCTTCGATGCCACCGCTAACAGGCTGATGCCATGGTGGTTTTCACACGACGCCGGCGTACCCTTTTTGAAGACAGGGGTAACCGTCAATATGCCCCATTCTGCAGGCACCTTCTCTTCGTCCCATATTGTACCAATAAGCTTTGTCAGATGGGCCACCAGGGATTTTCTGCCTTCTTTGAAGAGGGCTGGATACAGACCGTCCGGTCCTTGTGTCTTCTCACGTTTCGTACGGCTATTTCGTACCTTATTTCTTCTTCCGAAGGGCGATCTAGGTCCACATTCCATTCGCCCGTGTGCATTATTTCCACGGGCTGTGTTGAAGTAGGCCAGCTGAACTGTTCCTCGAAGTGTTCGACCCATCTTTTCAGTTGACGTTTTTGCGAGTGAATTAGTGCGCCATCTTTTTCACTTATCGTTTCACTGACAGTGCGCCATTCACTTATCGTTTCACTGACCGTTGATTTCCCAGGGCCAGTCAATCGTATCAGTTGATATAGGGCACGGCTGTTTCCCCCCCCCCGAAAGCCTTCTCCATCTCCCAAGCTTTCGATATCCACCAGAGCTCTCGGTCTTTTCTTAGACTCTTCACTATTTGGCTTTGAGGGATTTGCGTGCGCCGCCGTACTCGTTGCCTGCTGATATGGCTTTCGTGGTACTAATCATGGATAACGACCTCGACGACATCCAGTGGTCTTGTGGTCGAATCGGAGAAGTCGGGCAGGCAGCACTGAGCGCCGCTAGTATAGCTCCTTTCACATTTTGCCACGCTTCATCCACATGCTCACTGCCACCACAGTATTGTTTTACTGTGGAAAGTTGTTGGGCTAGCTCAAATCGGTACTGTTGGGCTATGGCAGTTCTTCGAAGATAGTGGATTGGCACGTTGCTTGCCGACTTGCGAGGACCTGAAGGAAAACGAACTGTCAGGCGTGCGCGCACCATGGCGTGATCGGAATCAAGTGGTGTGCCCCAGAAGGAACGGCAGTCTTGAATTGTGGCTCTCCACCGGTGAC